GAATTGGGGGTGGACTACGAGAAACCAATGATGCTCTATTGTGACAACCAAGCTGCTATCAACATTGCACATAATCCTATTCAACATGATAGAACTAAGCACATTGAGGTTGATAGGCATTTCATAAGGGAAAGAGTCTCTTCAGGAGAAGTTTGTTTGCCATTTATCACATCAGAAGAGCAACTGGCTGATATCTTGACCAAGGGAGTTCCTAAAGGGAAACTGACACACTATATAAGCAAGCTGGGCATGATTGACATCTATGCTCAGCTTGAGGGAGAGTGTAAAGAGACTGGGCCGAATGGGCCCTAACAGCTGCTTGTTTGATATCCTTTATTTTTATCTTTAATTTTATGTTGATGGGCCTCACTTAATGGGCCTGTTATTTGTTCTTGTTTTATTTTCTTTATGTAATTGCCAAGCTGGCCACCCACTTAAGGGCATACTTGTCATCATTAATTTTTAGAGATTAATAAAATAGGGTTAGAGGAGAAGGGTGAATTATTCGACTTCTTCTTCTCTTACCTCTTCTCTTCGACATACACAACTCTTGCACTATTATTCAGATCTGATTTGCACTGTTAATTACCGATTTTAAATCTGATATTAGAAGACTGGTTCACATCTGTAACCTTAACTTTCTCTCTATAAAAAGGGGAGAGCAATTCTTCCCCAAGGAGACAACATAGTATAACTCTGACCTAGGGTTTCTCAAGAGGCCCCTCTCTCTCTTCTTCTCTCTTCCTGACGTCCCTTTTCTTTCCTGTCGCCATCTCCGGACCTTCGGAGAACTGACCAACTGCCAGGAGTCCACGATGAAAACAATAAGCATGCAATGTAATGTTGGTACTAGAACAATATATCAAAGACATGCTTCTTTCTTGGTTTACTAGTCCTGAAATGTAGATTCTCATTTTTCCATTTTATTTCATCACATTTAATTTTGCTTCCTTTAGATATTTTGTCTTAGTTTAGGCTTACCTGGAGTGATGCATAAAATTGCAAATCCAAAGATTTAAATCAGTTAGTTGTCCCTATCACAGTGTGAACTATGATGTAGATGAGGTTGTGCAAAGGCCTTCTAGTGCCCAAGGCACAAAGCTCTCACCTTAACAAAGTAAGAAACAAATTTTGAAAAATAAATAAAAAGGCATTCATACATAAAAATAGCAAATCTGAATTTTAAAGGAAATTAAATGTTTTAAAAAGCCTACTTGATCAAACCAAAACACATAAGCATAACATATAAAACAAATTCAAAGTGAAAGTAAAAGCAAACAAATGTGGATCATAGGAAAGTGCTTCAAGCACTTGTCAACTCAAGCATGTAAAATTCTAAATGTGTTTGTCTATCTCCTAGTTGCATTACCTCAAGTAAAGTAGCTATTATAATTGTAGGAGATTGAGACCTTCACACTCATATTTTTTCAAGGTCTTTTGAGGCAAGTCAAAATAAGCTTATGTGTGTGTGGGGGGGGGGGGGGGGTTAGAGGCAATGCCACCAATTCAAATTTTGGTCCATATAGGGGGTTGGTTTAATGATTTTGGTCACATATCATTTTATTTTAGTCAAACATTAGAGATCAGTTGTATTATTGTTGTTTTACTGGAAGTTTTGTTATCTGAGAACCTATCCACAACAACTAGGGTTTCATGTTTTAAAAGGTCTTCACTTTTTGTTTCTTATAAAAGTTAATACACCATAACTAGTGCACAAGCACCAATAAAAGGTAACGTAGAAGTTAATAGATCATTACAGAGGTGTAAAACACATAAAAATGTATAAAAAGGTAATAAGAAAGAAAACTTAAAAAACACCTAGGCCAAGGCGCAAGGTGATTGGAGTACATGACATTTTGAAGGGGTTGTGCCTAGATTAAAACAAGATGCATCCCTTAAAATGTTCCTTGTCTGTGCTCCTAGGAACATCTAAGGTGTCCCTTTAAAACATTGTTCCTATTGATGGTAGCCTTTAGCTCATACACTCAACATTCGTATGTTTTAGATCTTTAGAGGCGTTATGCATGAATAGATGTATACATGTTGATGTGCAAGAGAATGTACACAAACCAGCATGTATGTAAAGGAGTAATGTAAACATGTCTAAATATTGATATATGGTTAGTGCTGATAAATGCATTATGTATAGAAATAACAAAATTATGTATAGATTAGATGATGAATGGATCTCTGAACCTATTATAATACTAAAACATGAATAAGCAAATAAAAATTGACATGGAAGACATACATATTCATGGTCCCACATTGGATGAAGCAAATGATCATAGCGGCCCCCAATAGCAAGCAAGGCTCCCTCAATTACTGATCCAGTGTTGTTCTCCTTATTTAAATATATCTGTGGAGAAAAAAATTTTACTCGGTCAAGATAATAAAAATAACATGAAAAAGCCAACTTAAAATGACAATTAACAACAACATTATACTTATCTTTTATTATTATTGTAGTAGTTGTTGTTATTGGTGTTATTATTATGTATACTATTATAAAGTGAATACTTGCCTTGGTTTTGGTGCAGGTCATAAAAAGTTAAATTTGATAACATATTGTTAACTTGTATCTTTACCTTTACTTGCATAAGTGCATAGCAAATGCCATCTCACACTAGTTATCATAAACATGCAATGAGTAATCTATGCATGCATAATGGTAGAATTTTTTTTCAGTTATTACTATCATTTATTTCAGCATCTGACACTGATATAAAGACTAAGATTTTGAAAAGGCTCAAACTGCAGAGTGCAGACCTGATCATTCAATTTATTTAACATATAATTAGATTTTCTTCTAAATAATTTCAATTAGTTGAAAATAATATAATTGGAATAAGACATCATAAGTAGAATTAACATAAATGATACATATTTATGAAAAAAATAATAGTATACAATAAATCAATTTTTGTATGGATAGATGTGGAAGTAAGTATTTTAACAATAGAGATATGATACTAAACAGGACAAAAAGGTGGAACAAGATTAAAGTAACCTGCCCCATCTAGTTGGCACTAGGTTTAGAAGATGAAGACGATGATGATTAGATGTGAAGTTGATGCATTAACAAGAGATGATATCCAGTATAGAAGTATGCCAAATTTCAGGATACAGAATGCCTTTGTGAGATATTAGATGTTAAATATGAATAATCATTAGCCCATGCAACAACAAATTAGCATTTTAAGTTATAGTACCTGAAAGAATATGTCTCTATGATAATTCTCTGTAGGTGGCATAAGGGCATCTAAAAACACATGTCTCTCAATCCCCCATACTCTCAAATATCCACAAAGAGCTGACAGTTCCTCAAGTGCCTTGCATATAGGTTTATCTGCAGTAATACCATAGTTCCATAACAAGAATCCACCATTGAGAAAGATTTTATTATTGACTAACAATATTTAGACACTAAACATATACCAGGAGGAAGGGCTCCTCTCAATCTAGGAAGGGCCTGATCTGCTGGTCCACAGAGCCTTAATCCAACTGTTTGTAGTCTATTGACAACAGTTTCCGTTAAATTAAGATCCTGGAAAAGGGTAAAGCCCAAAAGTATAAATGCCAATAGTTCATAGCTATTACAGGAAAACAATACCACTATTAACATGCTAGGAATAAAAAAAATCCATTTCCATTTAGAGGCACGAAAAGAAGGATGAAATGATTGTCAGTGTGTAAAAAAGTGTATATGAGATACACCAGTGTCCTAAACCTTTTATTTTCTCCTAGAAGTCTAAGTTTACTGCAGATTGAATCCAACTACCATTCAGGAGTAGGATTGTAAATCATGCTTCAAAAGAGAAGCATTTTGCAGGTTTAAGACATTTCAGGAATGAGGTTAAGGTGTAAGCACTTGAGAGCATTAGAAGCAGTGACTGATAGCAGAGACAGGCTATTATGAAGATCCCAAAGCATGGAGTGAATGCTGAGAGAAAGAGGCAGAGAATAAACCATAAACATATACCCTAGGTTGCCAAGCACTATGCCTATGTCTGGCATTTGGTGATTGTCTTCATGCATCACATATGCCTAAATAAACATGTCTAAATCATCAGTGCAAATCATCTCTATATAGACAATCACCCAACTGAAGATAGCCATTCAATCCTTCAATTCTATCTATTAAAAATAATACACAGAAAAGAACCACCATTTGACAATGACAGAGCATACTGGGCTAGAATTTCCTATTGAATCAAAGGAGGAAGAGATAGAAAGATTGTGTTAAGGGCCCACGAATAGGATCTCGTCACAGGTCGGTCCACGGGGAAAACCTCTTGTTTTCCCTTGTTCCTCCCTTTTCTTGAGGAACCTATCTTGGCGCCTTAATGGTGATTTGTTAAAGAGATCACCAACTCTCCTCTGCTCTTTCTTGACTGAAAATTTCGATGCCTTGATTGAATATCATTAGCTCC